GTTGTATGTTTTAATGAAATGAATAAAAAATTTAAATAAAAAAAATAATAAAAATCTGGAGCCAGTGTTGTAGTACTCAAGACCGGTCTTGGTTTGAGACCACACTTAAAACCCCCTTTTTGATGGTCTTGGTAATCTCTTGGACTGCATTTGTACTTGGTCTTGACTTAATGTTGGATATTGAGGACTCAAGATTTTATTTCACGATCAGTCAAGACCACAATTGTGGAAATATCCCTAAATTGCCTAAATTTGTTAACGTTTTTGCTTTCATTGGATGTAAAACATACTCCAAGTGTGACTCATTGCTAATTATGTATTACCGCTGTCACCCATCACCACCCTTTTTCACTTGCACACAGCAATCAAAGAAAGTGAGCAGTGGTTATCTGGGAGCGGGAGAAGATGTCTGCAAAATCTTCAATAATACAATTCAGCCATACCATACCATACCATACCATACCATACCATACAGCACAAGGCCAACCAAAGTGCTGTACAGTAGACAGACACAACAGGACATAGTCAAATTACAGTCACAACAAGACTTGACGACAGAGAGGGAAAAAGACTGTCTGACATGTAATGGTAGATCATTCCACAGTTTTGGACCTGCTACAGAAAAGGATCTGTCACCTCTCAGTTTGAGACAAGAGTTAAGGACCTTCAGAAGCAGCCGACCAGATGATCTACGAGAGCGCTGTGGGACAAGTGGATGCACTACATCTGAGAGGTAAGAGGGGGTGGAGTTGTTTAAGGCATTTAAAGACATACAGGAGGATCTCAAATGGAATTCTGAAATGAATCGGAAGCCAGAGATGAGATGCTAGAACAGGAGTAATATGTTTTCTTTCACTTGTGCCAGTTAGAAATCGGGCTGCTGCATTCTGTACCATTCGCATTCCTTGACACACATGCACAGTAGTGGTAACTGGGGTAGGCCGTGGACGTCACAAGACATTATACAGACAGGCTGTGGTATCATGGCTACCTGACAATGGCTCAAAAGCTCAAAAGTGTGGGATCATTTTAAGAAAATGAAAGAGAAACCTGTGCAATGCAATATCTGTAAGGCAGAACTTGCCTTCCACAGCAATTATTTTTAGTTAGCATTTGGCTAAAATCTAACTATGATTATATATTGTAATAGCAGCTGCATTCTGGTGTGATAAGCTGTATATTTTATATTCAATTAACTTATGACCCGATTAGTCGACTAATCGAAAAAAGTAATTGGTGATTAGTCGACTATAAAAATTATGGTTTGTTGCAGCCCTACTTGACACTACCTGGGGTCCAGCACAACTGTGTTGTAGGCTTTGTCACTGAACAAGGTCATTTTCCACAATAATTTTTAAAGAATCTTTTTTTATGCTCGATGCAATTAATGTCTTCTTGACTTGATTTTTTCCCATTGTTTCACTAATAAGCAGGACGGGTTTAAGAGAACGTTTAACTGATGTAGAAATTGTGTTGAGTATGGAACTGTTAGGCTGTATAGCTCTGTTAGTTTGGCAGGTGGGGGTTGGTGGGGTACAGAAGACCCGGTTGTGGTGAACATCCATCACCACTGATTAAAAAAAGAATCTTGTTTGGAAGGTATTTTTACAATCTTGGTTTCATACCAAAACTGTTTATTGGAGGTGCAAAATCAGCAGAAAAACTCAACAATATCCAGCCTCAGCTCAAACAGAGACATTGTTCTGTGTCATTTGTCAGTTCGTCCTGTTAAAGTCAAATTATACATTGTAAAAGTGTGAGTGGTTTAACAACAGCACTCTTTCCCTGACACATACACACACTCATCATGCCTCACACTAAATCAGCTGAAAAGTGTTAAATGGATCATTAGCCCTTAGCTGAGGGGGCACTTGACCCTTTTCTGCCTGGGGTCAAGAGTCACAGGCCTGAGGAAACAAACCAAGGTGTGATCAAAGAGCAGTCATGTCCAGTCAACCCTGCTGAGTTCATTCACTTTTACAAGCAAACTAAATGTGTTTTATATGTTGTGGAGAACACAAAGAGAACTTTAAACAGTGAAAGTCTTCCCAGGATTTAATTTAATTCACATTGTCCATACTGAAACTCTTATCTGAATCCTTGCATCAACTAAATTACAAGTTCCAATTAAATATTCATGTTACAAGATATTATAAAATCTTCAGAAATAAAATACTTTGTGTTAAACAAAAGTGTTGGTTGTCTATAAACATGCCAAAAGGCAAATGTGCGATGTCTGTATGTTAATCTTCTGTGTTAGATCTCGTGAAACACTGGATGGATTTTCATGCAGCTGTCAGAAAATAATCAGTAGGCATAATTTACAACTAATTAACCTTTGGAGTCACCCAAATTTTAGATGGCCACCACAGCTAATAGAAATTATGAAGCAATAAAAATGCTCAACCACAAATATTTTGACCTCAAATTAACAGCCAGTGTAGATGATTATTATTGGTAGGGGTGTCCCAAAGCAGTTTTCAAACTGAGTACAAGTTCTTTAGTTTGGTTACTCGCTGATACGAGTACTGATACAGTGTACTTACTGAGTTAAAAACTAAACATTACACAATAACTTTAAAAATACATTTCTTTTGTTTAGAACACTGTGGCTCTCCTTCCTTATAAGCCTATATTCCCTCTTGACTGTGTTAAATAAAATTTACAGTATACTGTTAACATTTTAAATAAATAAAAATAGCATTCTGGATTTCCTTTCAACTTGCATAAATGTCAAACATGGAACAGACAAGCTTTTTACTTGAAGTACAACATTGAATGGAACATCAATACCATAATATAGATCTTGATATTGATTTTGGTGTTAAGAATGGGTCTTTGAACTCTGAATGAGATCCGAACACACACAGCAATTTAACAAGTTTATTATGAAAAAGTGCTGTTGACGATGGGAGCCAGGAACCCGGAAACGGCTGGTCTGGACACAAAGAGACTGGGTCAGGTTGGTTCAACAAGAATATATTATTGGTGAAAATAATACAAGCAACCAACCTTCTGATGCGGGACTGGGTCCGGGCGGAAACAACAGCCGTGTGGTTTTGGTTCCGGGGAGCGGTAGCCACAGGAATTATGTTGCGGGGGTTTCTCTTTGTCACAAACAAAGCCAAGGTCATACACGGATAATCAGAGAGTGTTACCAGGTTGGATGGGACAGACAGAGTCGTTGGTCCAGAGAAGGGTTCCGTGGTCGAGATCCAGGAAGTCCGATGTGGCGTGGTACCATTCAGGGGTGAGACGAGAGAGATGAGTCCGAGAGACAGAAACAAAGTCGTTACCGTGAGAGCAGATGGCAGGCAGGAACCGACAAGGACTGAGGCAGGATTCGTTAAACCAAGAGACATGAAAAGGGTCAGGATCACAAGGCAAGAGTAGGACATGGAACAAGATCGCTGGAAGTTCATAGACGGGGCTAATGAAAATCTGGCAAGGGACTGGAGGCTGGAGCTGAGTTTTATACTGACAGGAACAGGTGAGTAAAATGAGCTGATTGAGTTTTCAGTGACGGGAGGGGCAGAGGCAATGAGCAAGACAAGACTGACAGGAGCAGGGTGATGACAAGCATGACAGACAGGAACAGGATCATAACAATTGGTTTCGAGTATCAGGGCATTTTGTACAAGTACTTTTAAAAATACTGGTATTGGGCCTGATACAGATATTGGGACACTACCATATAGGCATATGTCTTAAACAGATCACGTGTGGTAATAATTTAGCTCTCAAAGAGTAAGTTGGAGATCATGATCAACCACTTAAACAGATTTGATCATATTCTGCAAAACTGACTGAGCCATTTAGAGGTTTGCTACTGTTCTGCTGTGGTGGCCATCTTGGATTGGGTTAGGTTAGGTTTTCTATGTGTTGAGGGGTTCATATTGTTAACGATGCCAGAAAATTTGCACACAAGCTTACTCAAAAACACCATCACTCTTCCTTCACCTTCAGCAGGTAATAACTACGCCCTTATGTAAGACACGACTTGGTGTAAAGTTGAAGAAAGGTGCAGAGATGCTTAAAGAGGTCGATCTCTGGCAGTGTTTCACACCAAGATACCCGAGACAAAACGAGTTGTCCACTAAACTCTAACTTTGGTGGTTGAATAAACAGCTCCTCCTGTCCTCTTTAAATATTAGTGTGGTTGCCAGAAACACCCAAGAGGCTAAAGCAAATACATTTGTTTGATTTTCTTTGGGAAATTCCCAGTAAGGGTTGTTAAAAGCAATTAAGAGCACACAAGCTTTTGAATAAAGCATTGAAGTGAAGTATAGAGAGAGGCGGAAAACTGCAGGTGATTCCGTTGAAATCCCCCAAGGCTGACATGTTATATCAGTGTTTAAGTCAATAATTTGCCCTTTAAACTAACCAACTGTGCATATGTTAGTTGTGTTGAGCTGTGTAGAACAGTCTTTTTCAGTCCATGTCTTGGTATTTGGACTTTCTGTGTGCACTCGGAAAGAAGGAATGGCAACTATCTATCTTCTTCTTCTTCACTGAGATCTGTGAGATGTGAAAACAATAATGAGGTTAACAACAGATAATAGAACATGAAGTGCCAGTCTTCCTTACATTGAGGCATAGCAAGTGCTCACAGCCTGTTACCGTATGCTACTCAATAATTAATGGCCTTTTCCCTGGCTGCTCTGCTACATGCCAAGCTTTGATATGAGGTTACTATGTTCAGGGTCCCACCACAGGAGGGGCAGCTGCTCCAACACTGCAGTGTTTCATGTCTTCTTTCTTAAGAAAATGCCCACACAGGCTTCTTTCATGGTCCTGTGCAAAAGCAGGTTCCTGTTGAGGCTACAGGACCATTTTATTTATTTATTTTTTATTACCAGAAACCTTTGTAGTTTTCTGAAGACTGGATATCATATTTAACCTAGGAGGATCTATTTATTTCAATGCAAATAAAAAAAATTCACCTTAGAGCATGTAAAACGTATGAGTTAGCTAAGGGAAGCATTGAGCAAATAGTTGGTGACTGGAACCAGAGTTCAGCCTGAATGGTCTTGATTGGTGACTGACTGGTCCAGCGATTGAACAATTAACATGTTTTGCATGGGTTAATGTGCTAAGCTAAGCTGCTATATCATACTTGCAATAAGGAGGGGCAGGAGATGACATGAGATAAGATGGGGGGTGGGGGGTCAAACATTTGAAAAAAGAAAAAAGAGAGAATACAAGTTTAAGAATAATATTGGTTTAATCCCAAATAGCCCTATTGGCTGTGGCGGCTAGTGGATTTTTCTCAGGGGGGGTGATCTACAACTCCAAAATAGACGTATCTCAAAAAGCAATCAAACTTGTACTAAGTTGTTTCACGCCAGTGTATTTATTAAACAAATCCAAATAATAAAACAGTCATGTAGTTTTTATTTTTAGTACATAAATTTTGTTCTTCTGTTACTGAGAAGCAAATTTCTGCATGACTCTGGTTAAAGTCAGGGATGTTTTAGCAAGATTCTAGAGAGCATGGTCAGTGCAGTGAGATGTGATGTACCTGAGAAAAGTCTGGATTGTCTTCAGTGTTGAGAAGCTCTCCTCTGATTCAGCTGTAGTCAGAGGAGATGTGATGAGAATCTTCAGCAGAGTCACAGTCTCTGAAGGTGTCCTGCAGATTGTTCTCCATGAAGAACTGGTACAGAGCCACAGCACCACTGTAGCTCCTGAACTAGACCAGACTTTTTGGTCCTGTTCAGCACTGGGTGAACCTTCATGGTCTTAACAAGTATTACAAAAGTCTTTTAGCTTTTCTCTTAACTGTTTTAAATTCATGCTGGATCAGATCCTAATGCTTGAAAAACTTTGGTTACATACTGTAACCCTCTACCGGTTGTGTGAGGTCAGCTGCGGGGAGGCCACATGCTGCGCCCCAGGCCGCCCTATTATTTTGCATTGGGGACTTACTGCGCATGTCCAACATCTTACAATGACTTGTCTATGGGAATCTGGGGTGCCAAATAGCTCGTGACCCGAAAGTGACTCAACACGAAAAAGCTTATGAGTAAAATGGAAGTTTACACATCAATAACTCTAAATTATTTATTTTACTTGTCAAAAAACATATTTACAATAGTTTTTCAAAACATTTATAACATTTTATGTCATTTTATTTTTATATTTATTTTTTGTGTACCAAAAATAGTGGTGGGGTGGTGCCCTAGCGCCCCCCATTAACCAGCCGCCACTGCCTATTGGTGTTTTATTGTTGTAAGAAACATCCCCTCATAACTATTTGTCCCTTTTTGTTCATTGAGAAATACAATGTTCATAGTGTATATGACAAATTAATGGGAGAAATAACTTGCATTTTAGTTCTACTCCTGATATATCATTTTGGTGTTCTAGCCTGAAAGGACCTTTAATTCTGAACCTCACACCAAAATAACCTTTTAGTTAGGAAAAATAAAACATTGTTAGCAAAATTATCACCACTGAGAGATTCAGTTTATGTCTGCTAGATAAAAAGCTACATAAAATAAATTAAGTAAGGGAAAGTTGGCAGGCCCCCCTCACTGCTCTGACATGCAGAACCCCCTCTTCCCCCACCACACACCCCACCACTCATGGGGATCTGTCAGTCAGTTTCAGGGGGCACAGCTGTAGCGGGGCATGGGGAGAATTAGCCCCCTACTGTGTCCCCCTCGCTAAACACCACCCGTCCATCTTCACCCACTTGTCTTTCCTCCCTCCACCATTCATTTTTCCACCTATTCACCCACTTACCAAGGGGCCATTTTTTCCTTTAGCCCGAATTATGGATTTACTCCAAATAATGTGGTTTATTTTGGTAATGGGGTGAGTGGGAGTCACGCCCATCAAATCTTACCCAATTTTGCTTTAATTCTTACAGTATGTGCTGCAGGGACATAAGACAACAAACCATGCCTCTAACAGAAGAGCTTCTCTTTATAACATCTGGTGAGTTGGTCCTGTTTATCAGAGATTTGTTAGATTTTACTGGTTTTGGAGGACTGAGAGAGTTCTGTTTGTGAACACTGCCAGGACAGTTCACAGTGAATTAGATTGACAAGCCAAAAAAGAAAAAAAAATCATTCATTTGTAAAATGCTGCACTCTGTTTCTTCACACACTGGACCAAACGTGAAAGAATGAGTGGCCATCTCTCTCTACGCCAAAGCTTATGTCGGTCAGCTTTTGTGTGTGGAAAGATTTAGGGGTTCACACCAGATTAGGAACTGGAGGATTAAATTAGGGGACTTCAAGAAAATCCCTCAGACTTTGCTATGTTTATCGCTGTGTAGGAAAACAGCAGCTTAACTTAGCCATAAATGCGGTCATGTGTATTATCGGTTAAAGGACATTAAGTACTTAAATACTTTAATTACCAGTAAGAGTATTTGATAGTGTTTGTCTCTAAAAAACTGTGGTAAACAGTACATTTTACATTTACTCTGGATCTAATTTGATTAAACTGTATATATCCTGGAAGGACATTTGAGGACACCAAGACTGTACAGATTATTTGTAGTTATTACCACCACTTCAGCAAGTGTGTCAGCATGTGTGCATGCATGTGTGTGTTTTGTGTCTATTACCAAAATATCCCATGAATCACTAAACAAATTTTATAGAAACTCTCTACTTCTTAATATCCATCTTCTACCACCTTTCTGTAGTCAGGTCATGTATGCAACAAAATTCAATTCAATTCAATTCAAAAGTACTTTATTGAATCCAGAGGGAAATTAGGTGTTGTTGCAACTCATAACGAGTTATTGTAGATGCTGATGGCTGTGGGCAGGAAAGATCTTCTGTAGTGGTCTGTATTATCTGTATTACAGCGAAGTTGAAGTAGCCGCCGACTGAAGACACTCTGTTTTTCTATCAACATGACCAAGATCAAAACCCCGAGGCATTCCCAGGCCAGAGAAAATACCCAATCCATCCAGCAAGTTCTAGGTCTTGCCTAGGATCTCTTACCAGTGGGAAATGCTTGGACAATGTAGTGTCCAAGAGTGGGGGGCCTCTTCTCAGGAATGCACAGATGTGATGTCTCTTGGTTTTTCCAGCTTCAGAGCTCGGCACATATTACCATATTAGGAAGAAGGTATACCGTGACAAAATTTATGGTGCATCTGTTGGACTACACTATAAAGAGCCTTGTACGCCCCTGCTCTTTGCCTTTGTTCTTCATCTTCCTTACTTGCTGAATCATTTGGTTTGAAGGCCACAATTCGGTTTTTGGCTGTAATCTCCTGGACTGCAAAATAAAGATTCTTGCTGTTCAACCAGCCTGTTTCAGAGTTCTCTCTTCATTGAGCAACAGCAGTTCCACTTCGACCAGAAGACGTGGTTATTTTCACCTCAACATCCTCCAAAGGTAGACATCCTAATCAGCACCTCAATTAACTCCTTTTGATGCAAAGGGGCAGCAGCTCAACTCCAAACTCCTCCTAGATGACAGAACACATTTTTCGAAAGGATGGGTTTGTTGGCTGCATTGTAGGAGTCTTCGGTTTTGGACAGCCTCCGTCACTGTGCTGTGATGTAAGCAGCCGACAAATTTGGCCTTCAGAGGACACGGCCTCCTGTTTTGGACACAGCCCATGATGCTTAGCA